TTCTTCTGCAGGGGTTGGGGTGGGGTGGATGGGGTGAAAATTTACAAAACATATCATCAATTTTTACATTCAACCATTTATACTCAGTTTGTTTCAATTCATCCATTTCAATCCTCACAATGTGCCACTCTTTATCTTACTTGATCCCTGTGTTTCCTGTTTCTATTCCTTTTTCCATAACCTTCTGTCCTTGGATAAAGAATGCCCTTGTGATTTTAACAGAGGAGTGATTCAATTACAGACCTGAGTGACTAAGGGCCACAGTCTTATGGTTCTACCTGTCACTATCTGACCAAGTTAGTCTGGTCTCTTATGATTTAGCGTTCTGATCCACATTTTCTCTCACTCCAGCCAGTACCTTCCAATGCAATCCTTTTCAGGGAAGCTGGACACCATCCTATCTTCTAGTTTCAGGATGGCCAAGACAGCAAAAACAACTATTAGAGTTATGCATCTGAATCGTGTATGGTGCTGACCAAAAAAATGTTGAATATACCCTGGATTGCCAGAACAAGGGGAAGTACAATCAGAGCACTCCTTAGAAGCAAGGTTACTGAGACTTCATCACAAACATTTTGGACATGTTAAGAGAGGTCAGTCCCTGGAAAAAGACATCATGCTTGATTAAGTAAAGGGTCAGTGGAAAAGAGGAAGACCCTCAATATGATAGATTACACTGTGACCACAACCATATGTTGCCATCCAACATAACTACAATTGTGGGGATGTTGACCTGTTATACATCGGGTCACTGTGAGTTGGAGTCAAATCAACAGCACCTAACAATGGCAATAACAAGTTTGTCCCTGTTTTTTCCTGGGATGATCTCTATACAGTTTAGTCTCACAATTAAGACGCTCATCTATCTTGGGTTAGGTTTTGTTCATGGTGTGAGGAATGGATCTTGTATTTTTCTGCAAATGGATATCCAGTTTTGTGAGCACTATTTGTTCAGGAGACTATCTCTTCCCCCATTTAATGGCTTGTGGCCTTTGGTCAAAGATCAGTTGTCTATAGAGGGATGAGTTTACTTCTTGGCCCTCGATTTTGTTTCATTGGTCCGTGTGTCTGTCATTGTACAATTAGTAGGCTGTTTTGACAACCATGACTTGGTTTTGAGATCAGGAATGTGCTACACTTCTTGAGTAGCCTTACTTATCTGGGGTTTCTCATTTCCATGGAAAGTTGGTGATTAGTTCTTAAAGAATGATGTTCAAATCTCAATCACTATTGCATTATATCTGCGGATCACTTTAGATAATATCGACACTTTCACAATACTAGTCTTCCCTTCCATGACCTTGCTATGTTCTTCCATGTATGCAGCCCTCTTCTGATATCTTGTAGTAATGATTTGAAATTTTCTTTGTATATATATTTTTTGCATCTCTGATTAAGGTTATTCCTAAGTATTTTATCTTTATTTAGGTTAACTATCGTAAATTATATTGCTTTCCTGATTTCCTTTTCCGACTTATCTTTAAGGAAAAATCTGATTTTTCTTGATCTTATACCCTTTTGTTGAAAAGTTCTATTAGTTCTGGTAGCTTTCTTGTTTAGTCTCTCAGATTTTCTATGTACAGGATCATATCATCTGAAAATAGAAGTCATGTTGCTTTTTCCTTACCAATTTGGGTATCTTTTATTTGCCTATTGCTTTGGCTAGATCTTCCAATACAGCAGTGGATAGGAGTGATGAGAAAGGGCATATCTTTGCCTAGCTCTTGTTTGCAAGGGGGATGATTTCAGCCTCTCTCCATTGAGATTAATGCTGGTCATTAGTTTTGTAATGATGATCTAATTATATTGAAGAATTTCCTTCCATTCCCATTTTATTGAGCATTTTTATCAGGAGTGGGTGTTGGATTTTGTCAAATGTTTCCTCTGCATTGATCGTGTGATTCTTTCATTTTTTAAATGTATGTCCTGGGTTATGTTGATTGTTTTTCTAATGTTGAATACTCCTTGCATATCTGGTAGGAATCCCATTTGGTCATGATGTTGTGGCCCCTCCCATCCCCCAACTTTTTCTTTTTCATGATGTTGAAGTCTACAGAATTTTGTTGAGAATTTTTGCATCTGTGTTCATGAGGGATATTGGTGTATAGTTTTCTTTTGCAATGATGTCTTGGCCTGCTTTGATGCCAGGGTTATACTTGCTGAAGATCCTGAGCTGGCGAGTATTCTGCCCTTTTCTGTGTCGTGGAATTTGTATCATTTCTTCTCTGAATGTTCAGTAGGATGCTTCAGTGCAGTTTTGTCTGGGCCAGAATTTTTTTGTTGCTGTTGGGATTTTTTAATGACCAGTTTAATTTCTTCCTTTTTTATGAGTCTGTTCATACTGTTTACTTCAGTCTATGTTTGGTTATGTAGGTACTGTATTTCTAAAACTTTGCCCATTTCTTTAAGGTTTTCAATTTTGTTGGTGTACGTTTTTTCATAGTATTCTTTTATTATCTTTATCATTAGTTTGTTTTGCTGTGAGGTTGCTTATTTTATTTATTGTTAATGTTATTAGCTTCCTCTTATTCTTTTCTTCTTTTAAGCTTCCAGTTGTTCACATCGATCCTTTACTAATTATAGAACCAACTTCTTGTCTTGTTGATTCTTTCTATTGTTTGGGGATTTCATTTGTTTGTTCTAGAATCTTTGTTATTATCTTTCTTCTTGTGACTGTAGGCCTTTTTTTTCAATTGTTGGAAATTTGTGTTGAGGTGTTGATTTGAGTCCTCTCTTTCTTTTTGATATGTGTATTTATCCCTATAAATTAATCTCTGAGCACTGCTTGTGGCATAGGTTTTGGTATGTTGTATTTTCATT